GCTGGTGGGTCGCAGGACCGCGTTCCCTGCAGGCGCGTGTGTCAGCTCTGTCTCTCGACAGGTTGCTGGGCCTGACCTGCCCGTGGGTCGCCGGTTCTCCTACCTTGCAGGCACTCTTACCTTCAGTTTTAAGACCTCTGAATCTTTAGTTCTCCTGCCTCCCTTGAGTTGCAATAGTGTTCATTGATATTTACTATTGAGCATGGAAATACTAAGACACACCTCAGAGGATCCCCTCAGTGCCAGATGTACTCCTTCCTGCCCCAGATTTCCTGTTGGTTACCAGGATCAATCACTACAACTAGATCAAAAACTTCTTTTTTTGCCCACTGGTGTAGTGGTATAAAGAGTTCCAAATGGTCAAGTGGTGGTTCTCAACTCCTGATTCAACATGCTGTGTATCCTAGTATAAGTACTTCTCTCTTGGAAACTAAAACCTTCAATCCAGTGGGACACAAAGGAGAAAAGACAGGAAACAAAAATTCTGCAAGTGGATTATTAGGGAAAATGGGATCACTTTCACTTCCAGACTCATGTATTCTGAGAAAGAACCCAATATATTATTTGCTAAATCAGATTATATATTGTATCTTTTAAGATAGAACATCATCTGTATAGGGTGTTGCCTCAACCCAACTCTTTCTCCTTGGTCAGCTGGCCACTCTACTGATCTGTTAGGTCAGCTGCTTCTAAGTGGTTGGGAATACATTAAGACCAGTGAATTCCTTGAGCATGAGCCTTCTATTGCACTTCTTTTACTGTGAAATTAATTTCTTTATTATAGGAGACTTGTTTGGATTATAACAGGATGATAAATAAGTGTTCTAAACATCTACAGATGATGATACTAGCAGCAGCATGATAGACAAGGAAAGAAGTTCCTCTCTGGACTAGCTATGTATTCCAAAGCTTTTCTATGATGGAAGGAGTCCAAGTTAACCAGCCATCCACCAGATGGATATCAGAAATTCAACTTGGGTCTCTGCCATTGACAAGTTAGTCACTCAGCACTATCAGTAACAGATCAGCATTGGTAAAAGGAAGTCCATGCATAGTCTCCATCCTTGGCCACCATGTCTACTTTGTATGTAAGCCCATTAGGCAAACCCTAGGTGGCTGGGGAAAGATGCTGTCGAGCTCATATTTAGAGAACATAACATTTTATCTGCTTGGTGATTGAGAAACTATTCTTATTACATCCTTTGGTGAGTTTTCACATGAGGCATAGTTCTCGTCACACTCTATTCCTATTCAAGAGGTCATCCTCATTCCACTTCCCAGAACCATTCATCACCAATATTATTTTTTTAAAATATTTGATTATAGGGATTTTACCTCTAATTTTTGTGGTAAATACACATAAGATTTGACATTTAAACACTTTCAAATGTACAGTTGAGTAATATTAAATATATTTAAGGTTATGCAATCATCACTATTATCCACATCCAGAACTCTTTTCATCTTGTAAAATGAAATTCTATGCCAGATAATGATTCCCCACTCCCCATTCATCACCAATCTTATAATTTTGTTCTCTCCAAGTCCCTGACCACCCATCTCAACCATTAACAACTGATCATGAATCAAATGAGATCCAGGGGATGGGGATTAGCTCAGTGATAGAGCATTTGCCTAGTATGTATGCAGCCATGGGTTTAATCCCCAGCACCCCCAAAAAATAAAAGTAGAACTAGACATCTTTTGGATCAAAGAGAACAACCAGATTTACCATTGAAGTCATGTCTGTCCACTGCCCTCTGCCATTATCTTTTATATCCGCCTGTGAAGCTGCAACCTGACACTTAGTTGGTGCCAATATAGCATTAAGAACAATCTATAAACTGAGCCTAAGGTTTTTTTCCTTCCTGGACTGTAGTCTAAAAAATTCCCAATAAGTCCTTAGATGTGGACTGAGGGAGAGGAAGTGATACAGCAGTGGCTTTATCAAGTCTCAACTACCTGCTCATGCAACTTATTTATTCCTTCTGGGCATACTCAAGCCATTTGTTGATAATATGCTACCAGAAACAACCAACCTTATGATTTGATGGAAAAGCTCAGGACATATGGTCAGGACATATGGTCTCTTAATGTCTGATGGTTAGGCTGTCCTCTTATTTTAAAAGATGTCTTTGTCCATTTAACCTTTAAAGCATTCTGGAGACTTACACTTCCTTTTGTCATCTATTGAATTATGTTTATCCTGTTATTTCATTTATGGACAATGGCAGTAGCAGAACCTGGCTATCTGGTCATCTCTCCTGCAGTCAAGAAACAATTAAGGATCTGCCCATCAGAAGAAGAACAGTTATCTACAAAAGAGGGCATGGCTTTAGGCTTTCATGCCTTTAGCCTTGACATACATAAGGGCTGAAGAATGTTGTTTCTTCCTGCACAGGTCCTAAGTGTTGTAAACTCTGTCAAGGGTCTTCTCTTGGAGGTTGGGAGCCAATGGCCAGAGTTGATCACAGTCTACTCTCTTGCAGGCACAGCCTCTGTGGCTGTGGCAGGGATCCTGGCTGCTCTGAGAATCACCAAGAACAAGCTCTCCAATCATGTGTTTGTTTTCCAAGGTGCAGGTGAGGTAGGTGCCACCAGGGGGGTCTCTACTGTTGTTGCAGTTGAAAAATAAGAATGCATGGAAGAGAATCAAGAAGGGTGGTGTTCAGTATATTCTGATCAGTATATTCTGATCATCTCGGCTGCCTGAATCTCAACAATTTTATTTATCAATGCAAGAATTTACCTGGGCCTCCTGGGAGTCATGGGGCTATAGGAAAGAATAAGGGCTTATTTTGGTGAGATATCTGATCCATGCTGAGCAGCTATTTCTCCTGTGTCTAAACATTTTCTTTATGGTACCTCTCAGGCAGCTATGGGCATCGCCCACCTTCTTGTCATGGCCCTGGAGAAAGAAGGTGTACCCAAGGCAGAGGCCACAAGGAAGATCTGGATGGTGGACTCCAAGGGACTGATTGTCAAGGTACTGTCAGTCTGGAGACCTGAAAGTTTCCCAAGAACTAAACTTGAAGAGTTCCCTAAGGGGTGAAGTTCTCAGAATAAAGAAGGAGAGCAATGGCAATGGCCTAACCTCCAAAACAAAAGATTCATCCCAAAGTAGCCTTAATTGCTCTTGTTCCGACATTCTGAATTTGTGTGTGTGAGTGTGTACGTGTGTTCCTTCCAGCCTTACCTCCCACTACTCCTGCCTTGCACTAATCTTCAGCCTTATTGAATGGTAGTTCTCCAAAAGTCACACATTCCCTCTCTTCCACATCTTTGCACATTTGTTCTGCCTGGAATGTTCTTCTCCCTTTTTCCAAATACCACTCTCAATCCCCCTTCATAGTTTCCTACTTACCTTCTGATTGAACTCAAATATTAGCTACTACTCCAGGAAGCTTTCTGAGAGCATTAGGTTTTTTTCTTACATCTATGCTCACATAGGCATTCCCCTTCCATAGGCTGCACCCACCACTTTATAAAACAGATGCTTTTTACTTGTCCACTAAGCTACCAATGCCTGGCACCTGGTAAGCACATAATTAATGTAATTAATGTGTGATGTGTGAGTGAAAGAATGAGAGAGAGAAACAGCTCAGTTTTTGACTAGAATGTGGAGAGGGACACAACTAGATGACCTCTCTCCCTTAGAACTTGACTCATAGCTTCATCCTTTAATTTCCAGAATTCCACTAGCATGGAATGTCAGTGAGAGATGAAAAACAATGAGCATAATAGGAATGGAGAAGTGCATAGGATCATATACCAAGAATAGCAAATACCCTCCTCAGAAACTGGTCTTCCTATAGAGCCAGATCACTGCCATAGGAACTTAGGCCTGAAGATTCCTCCTCCCACTCTATGTCATTCCAGAGCATAATCCAGTCACAAGTATAGGTTGCCAAAGCTTGCCACGCTTGACCATTTTTCACCATAATTTGGTTCACCCCATGGAGCTCACCCCTGCCCAAGGAACTCTCAAAGCTGACATAGTCTCTCTGTTTCTCATGAGGCCAGCTGGTCCAAAGGAGTCATCAGAAATGTTTGTGCTCATTTATTAGTAATCATGCCAGCCTGTCTCCCAAGGACCTCCATTTGGAAAAATGGAAGAAATATAGAGTCAGTCAGCTATTCCAAGCCTGTTCTGGAACTCAGCTTATTATTATTCACAGGGAGGTTAATGACTCATATAAAATATATTCACACTAGCTCCATGAAGAAGAAGAAGGGTTCATCATATGGAAGACAAAAACATGCTATCATTACTGCCCCAAACCCATCTCTAAACTCCAACTTCTGGTTTTCTTCCTGGCTCCAGTGCCAAAGATCTTTGGTCCTGGATGGCTCAAGCCCCTATCCCTCATATGGGCCTGGTCCTGGATGTCTTGGGGCAAAGGGACTTGGTCAGAGTCAGGTATTTCCTTAGAAGCTTTTTGTTCTAACCCAGCTCAAAGAAATGCCTTGTGAATTCTCCTGATGTGGTTTGGGTTAAAGAAACACACACACACACACACACACACACACACACACACACTACATGTTAAGCTTTACTGGGAAATCTGATCAAGAGGTCAGGCCCTAAGACTTCTGAAAGATCAAAATTATGGGGCTCAGCAGGGAATGCTCTCAGAGTTTCCAAAAGCATTCTTGCCCCTGCCCAACAGGTTCTCAGCGCCACAACTTTTTCACGAACCTTTTTTTCCTGTAGGGGAGAAGCCACCTGAACCATGAAAAAGAAATGTTTGCCCAAGACCATCCTGAAGTGAACTCCCTGGAGGAGGTGGTGAGGCTGGTGAAGCCCACAGCCATCATAGGTAGGAAGATGCAGGTGATATGCTGTATAGCCCAACTAACTCTATTGACTTGCAGATGGAGAAACTAAGACTTATCCAGGAAACATAAGTAACTTATAGAAATGCAGCTCTATCCCCAAATTCAATGTCACAGATTTCTATGGAAAAACTACAATATAAAAACCATAGAACTAAGCTACCAGAGTTGGGGCTTATATAGTATAATAGAAAAGTGCAGGGCTGATATCTCTAACCCAAATGATATGAGCTTTCCCCCAACCAAGGCAGAGATCCTAGTATCTCTCCTTGTACTAAGAGAGCAACCCATTTTCAATGGCAAAGCCCAATAACATCTTCAAGATGCATCTAAATGGCAGGGAAGTAGACCAGTAGTCCCTTAAAGATGAACAGGAGGCCTCAGGCAACTCAAGCAAGAATATGCTCTTCCCTTCTTCTCTCTCAATCTCATTGGCACATGCTATCCCCAAGACTCCTGAGCCTTATATGGTACACCTAGTTTCCCCAGGAGAGGAATGGGTTATTAATGAAGAGTAGGTATCCCCACTACCCCACTTTTCCCTGTAGGTGTTGCTGCCATCGCAGGAGCCTTCACGGAGCAGATTCTGAGGGACATGGCCTCCTTCCACGAGCGCCCTATCATCTTTGCCCTGAGCAATCCCACCAGCAAGGCCGAGTGCACAGCTGAGAAGTGCTACCGGGTCACCGAGGTCAGCGGGGAGTCCTTCCTTCCCCCAGCTGAGAGGACATAGTAACAATAACCATAAGTAACCCTTTGAGGGTGAAAAAAATCCTCATCATCAGTAAACTGAGGTTCAGAAAGATGAAGTAACTTGCCCACAGTTACAGAGCTAATATAGAGCTGGTCCTCAAACCCAGCTCTAACTCCAAAGCTCTTACAATCAGGCAATGCTGGACAAGTTTCTCCTAAATAACATGAAGCTTTGGCCAGAACCCAAGGCTCTTATAAACCCTAGGATACTTTCATGGCTGTCATGTCCTGAGTTGGCCTTCTCAGGAGATGACAGGTAAAAGGGGTCCGATGAACTCTATCATCTATCAGAAATTCTTGGTGGTCAGATAAATTGGGGGTGGGGGGGCTGAGCTTTCTAATCTAATGAATAAACATGCTTTGAGTACTTGCCATGTTCTCGGCACAATGCTGGGCATTTGGGAAAGGATGAAGAAGGGTTCAACATATGGAAGACAAGAACAAGTTATCATTACTGCCCCAAACCCATCTCTAAACTCCAACCTCTGGTTTTCTTCCTGGCTCCAGGGCCGAGGGATCTTTGCCAGTGGAAGTCCTTTTAAGAGTGTGACTCTGGAAGATGGAAAGACATTCATTCCTGGACAGGGAAATAATGCCTATGTGTTCCCTGGAGTGGCACTGGGAGTCATTGCTGGCGGGATCCGGCACATCCCAGATGAGATCTTCCTCCTAACAGCAGAGGTATCTTGTCCTTGCTCCTTTGAATGCTTTCAACAGAGCCTGGGGGTTAACACTAGGTCCTACACTGGGTCTCTAAAGATTCCTCCTCTTTTTGTCTCTTCTACCTGCCTGCTCCAAATCTTGGCAATGGATCCCCAAAGTACTTAAACCTCAGACATCTTTCTAGATTATCTCAGGCTTGACCTTCTTTCCAATTGCATGCAGGCTTTTAAAGAAGGATGGGAAGTAGTTGGAAGAAGAGCTATTGTCAGAAGGAACCAGCAGTGAAGGGATATGTCTAGTACTGCTCCCCACCTCCCAGCGTGTCATCTAGATGCCTAGATAGAGATGTAACTAAAGGTACCTGAAACTGGGAACTTGTGAACCATGACAAATGATGGATTTTTCCAGCCACGTGCATTGGTTACATCATTGGGGCAACTGGCAACAGTTAGCCCCACTAGGACACTTTCCACAAGAAGCAGGTGGAATTCTGAGCATATACCTGTTCTGAGCATCATACAAGAAAAAGCCCCAGAATGGTTCTTTACTGGAAGAAATGGTTTCTTTACAATGAAAAAATTCATTAAGGACGACATTTCACATTTATAATAATGGTTATGAATAACAATTACATTGCTGACATTATCAAATAACCTGCACTTGACATTTATTCTCACTCTGAAGAATCCTTTGCCTAGAAATGTTTTTCTTGAGTAGGGGAGGATTAAATTAATCAAAGATATATATAAATATTAAATATATTTTTACTTCTAACCTGTAAATAAATTTATACTCCTAACCTCCTCTGGAATTCCTTCTCACCATGGCACTGGTAAAAAAAATTTAAGCCAATGAGGCATGAGAACTGCTTCCATGAATCTCTGTCCAGATCCACCCTATGAGTCCCCACAGGGAACTGTACCACATCCTAGATCCCTTTTTACTGTGTCTTGTCATTGATCACCTGTGCTGCAAGGCCGTAAAGTAATGTTCCCTGAAGAATTTTAAGCCACCTCCCATGCTATGCACACCAGTTATGACCTTGTGCCACAGCCCTCTGTCCATCTTGTCTGAGTAACCTGCATTCATATTTCTTCCTATTGCTGTAATGGGTGTTCTTGTCTTATGACTGTGGGCAGAGCTGTTTGAAATCCCCTTTGGATGAGAAGAGTCACTCTTGCTTAAAGAGAGACTACAAGTAAATTTCCCTGTTGTGCAGAAACATAGTTGCTATAGCCTTTCCTATAGGACCCTGAGACATCTGCACACCCAACACCCTGTGCCATGATGAGTGTGCATTGATTCTACAGGAAACTCTTCTCATCTACTCATTAAGCATCTGCTGTGAGCAGGATAAACTTTCTCACATTTTTTTTGTTTTTGTTTTTGTACCAGGGACTGAACCCAGGGGTACTTAACCACTGACCCACATCCACCTGCCTTTTTTTGAGAGAAAGGGTCATTAAGTTGCTTAATGTTCCACTAAGTTGCTGAGGCTGACCTCAAACTTAAGATACTCCTGCCACGGCTTCCCAAGGCACTAGGATTACAGGCATGAGCCACCATGCCCAGCTCAGGTCTCTCACTTTTAGGAGCTGACAGTCCTATCTTCAAAGCCCTGAAAGCTTATATTTCTGAAAAAGATGCTTTTCATTAAGACAATTTATGTTGAGGGCTGGGGTTGTAGCTCAGTGGTAGAGCACTTGCCTAGCACATGCAAGGCCCTGGGTTTGATCCTCAGCACCACATAAAAATAAATAAATAAAATACAGGTATTGTGTCCAACTACAACTAAAAAATAAATTTAAAAAAAGACAATTTATGTTGAATTTTATTTTCCTATGGAAAATTAATATAGATTTTAGGAGATTTACATGCATTACCTCATTTCAAAATCTTAACAATTCTGTAAAACTAAGTATAGAGTGTATCCTTATGTTATAGACAAGGAATATGCGGCATAGAGACTTTAAGGAACTTTCCCAAGATCTCTAGGCTTGTGAGCCATAGCACTAGGATGGCCCAGGCTACTTGACATCATGCTGCAAGACGTTACCAGTGCCCTGCACCTTAGAAGTGCCCATAATACCATGATTTATCTCTTCACAGGACAAGTTTTCTATATGCAGATCTAGTCATGGCAATCCTGTTTCTTTCTAACCAATCCATCTTCTGTACCTCCACAAAGAGAACACTTCAAAACACAGATCAGGCCAAATCTCCTCTAATTTCATACCTTCGTATGGCTCTTTTTTTGCTGCTGCAACAGAAAGACTTGACCAGAACAACTGTAGTGGAGGAAAAGTTTATTTGGGGCCTCATAGTTTCAGAGGTCTCAATCCATTGACAGCAGGCTCCATTCCTTGGGGGCTCAAGGTGAAGCAGAACAACATGGTGTAAGAGTGTGGTGAAGGGAAGTGGCTCACATGACCATCAAGAAGCAGATCAGGAAGAGGTCTCTACTTACCAGATACAAATATATACCCCAAAGCCACACCTCTAATTCCCACCTCCTCCAGCTACTCTACCACTTCAGTTACCACTCAGTTAATCCCTATCAAAAGGGCATTAATTCACTGGTTGGGTTAAGACTCTCACAACCTTCTTACATTGTCTCACATGTGAGTTTTGGGGGGGGACACCTCACATACAAACCATAACAGGCTTCTTGAATTTATAGAATAATATTCAAACCTTTTCCTGTGGTTTTCATACAAGGTACTTCATCACCAGGCCCTCCTTTCCTCTTCTGCCTTTCTTGTAGCCTCTCCCTATCATCAGACCCATCCAGCGTGCCTTTTTCAGCCTCAGGTCCTTGCTCTCTCACCTACAAGTATTTGCATATAATTTATACTTTCATGTATCTCCTCTTTTCCACTATTTCCTATTTAGTCCATCAGCTGTCAGTCTCTGACACTTCCTCTAGGAAGCCCTTTCTGCATAGCACATGAGACTCTGTCTTCCTCTTTGTCTTTATGCCCTCTCTCATTGCACTCCCCACTATAATTGTTAGAATTGTTTCTATTTGCCTTCTATGAGCAGTCTCTGTGAGGGAAAAGTCTTTTCACCTTGAGTCCTCAGCACCTAGCACAGAGCTCATCAGGCTGTAGAGCTCAGTGAATGTGTGCCTGAATGAAAGGGAATGGGGGAAACTCACTCCTTTGAAATAATGTCTGCAAACTCTAAGGTGAGATCAACTTCATTGCCCTGTCACTTCACGGACAAACAATTCTCAGAAAATACAAAGAATCTTCTCAAATTTAAATTGGACACAAGAAGATAAGGTAGGAGTATTTTCAAAGATACTCATTTAAAAAGCTGACCTGCGAAGCTGACTGGGCACCAGAACCTGAGGCTGGAAGGCTTGCAGAGGTTTCGTGCCATTCACTTACTGGAGAAAAGGCCTTCCTCAGTCTGAGACCGTGGCTTGGAGAGTTCATGGAGCCCTGAATACAGGAATGTTTCTTAGATGGGCAATCAGGATGGTACCAAACATGGGAAGAGGCTGAAAGCAAGGAAGCGAGAAACTTAGGATCTTTGTGCAATAGACTGGATGAACCAAGAAGAAATCCCATAGTCTTTGCTTTGCAAACCATGATTTATTCATCTTAGTCTTAGTAATTTTCCTTTAGAGTTCAAAAATCCCCATGTTTTAAGCCTCAACCATCACAGTACAGAAAAGTTTTGTCCTTGTTTAAGGCTAAGCATTAAGCTCCCTTGGTGCCACATGGCAGCAGAGTTAACAGTAGGAACTGCAGCATTTGACCACATGTGCAGGATTGGGTGAATCTCTGAGGTAATGGGTTGACCTTGTTCTTTGAAAGCAGAAACTTGGCTTATTCCTTTTGGTTCTCTCCCTCTCTCTAGCATATTGCCCAGGAGGTCTCTGAGCATCACCTATCCCAAGGGAGACTGTACCCACCACTCAGCACCATCAGAGATGTATCTCTGAGAATCGCCATCAAAGTAAGAGGCATCTTACACCTATAAATGGGGAGTGATGCACAAACACTTTCTCTTTGTGACTTTAGAAAGACAAGGAGACAGCAGCTCTGGAGATATACTTAGCTCCTCAGGCTGCATTGCATACAACCCAGAGGGTGGCTAACAAACTCCTGCCTGAAGCCTGCCCAGGCCAGTTCTGGAAAGCTCCTGGATTTCCCTTCAAAACAGGGGACAGAAAAGTCATGAAAGCCCATGGTCTTGTGTGCCAGAACGTGGGTGGAATTTTTTTTAAATGAATCATAATCACCCATTTATAAGAAAGGTCAGCTTGCATTACGTGAGGAAAAGGGCTTGTGCCTTGGGGTCCCAGCTTTGTGAATCAACAGTGAAGCAAGCTTGGCCCAATCACTTCACTTCCCTGAACCTCAGTTTCCTCCTTTTCCAAAGAGGCCAGTAATGCCTGTCTCCCAAAATTCTAGAAAGGATTGATAGAGGACAGTAATAAAGCTTCATAACCAGTGCCTGCCTGGCCAGAGGAGATGTTTATTCTTCCCCTCTCAGAATGACTGGGCCATAGAGTGATCATGGTTGTGGAATATTCCAGACTATGAAACTATGAAGGGTGATGGGTTTTCAAAGAACCAGAGCATAGTCCAGTAAATACTGGCCCCAGATGATAATAGTTGACAGTGGATAGCGAATATATAACGATTCAATATGCTATTATTTCTGTTAGTGCGTATGTTTTTCTATAATTTTTAAAAATAATTTCAAAAAATGCATTGCCTAACAGTACACAGTCTCTAAGAGTTGTTCAGTGCAGGGTTTTCCCTCATTTAGTTCCTTCCTTTGAGGATATATATATATATATTTTTTTTTTGAGGATATATTTAGATTCACGTTCTCCTGAAGCCAAATCTAATACCTAGAGAAGGTGTTCAGGATGTTCATCCAGTTCAACTCCCATCCAAAACAAAATTTGGTAATTTTATCCTCACACAACTCCAGATAAAAGCATCATTCCCTCACTTTACAGATAAGGAAACTGAGGCTCAGCAAGGATAATATCATGGCTAGGGACTCGTGGGCAGATACAAGCAAGCAGAATTTAGGCTGGGCCTCTTGACCCTGGCCCAGTATTTATTCCACTATGTCAAAGCTGCCTTCTTAGGCAGAAAGCTTAAAATCCTTTCTATCCAGTGGTTTCATGGGCCAAACTCATGAGAAGAACATGATTGGCTAATCAGAATGTATTCTGCCACCCCAGGCTCTCAAACAAGGGCCTTTAGGCAGGTTTTCCTTAGATCCAGTTCTTCAATCACAAATGTTTTTTCCTAGGTCCTCGACTATGCCTACAAACACAACCTGGCTTCCTGCTACCCAGAGCCTGAGAACAAGGAGGCTTTCATAAGATCCCTCGTCTACACTCCAGACTATGACTCATTTACACTGGACAGCTACAGTTGGCCCAAGGAAGCCATGAATTTTCAGACAGTCTGATGAGTCTCAAGGGCTGGTATGAGGCTGGATGAAGCCCAGAGTAACACCCACAATATAAATAGGTTCCAAAATGGTCATCCTTGTCTGTGTGTGTGTGTGTGTGTGTGTGTGTGTGTGTGTGTGTGTGTATTTTTCCTTTGAGTATTATGATGTAAGGGGAGATGCTGAGGCATACAATGAATGACAGCCTTGTGCCTAAAGGTCCTGGAAGTTCACTTTCCTATGACCCTTTTCAGAATTCTTTCCCAAGCATTTCTTCATCCACTAATTGCCAACTATTGTCTAGGTCTGGTGGGAAATACCGAATCCTGCCTAGAATCCCATGTTTATAGAGCTCAGGACCTAGTAGAGGAGATTGAACACAAATCATGAAAAATGTGCAGGTAGAAGTCAAGGGTGCTAACAGAAGGGAGAAAATACTTCCTATGAGCACATAGGCTCAGGGAGATGGGAGCAGTTTTTTGCACTGAGTCCCAACAGTGAAGGATGGGTGGGAGTCATGGTGAGATGAGGAATATAAGCATAGTCACTAGCCAGAAAATGTGGCCCACCCATTAGTCCCTGCCAGAGGGACTGAACACTGCCCTCAAGAGTCAGCAGGGTATGAGGGCTGAGTAACTGGAGGTAGTTCAGAAGCTAGTTAGGAATGCTCACTGCCCAATAGACTGTTGGGTAATAAACATTCTTTTTAGGTTATTACTAAAAGAAAAACCAGAGAAATGTGGGTGTGGAGGGTCAGCATGCCAGTGAGTGAGGAGGAAGAGAGGCAATGAGGTGAGAGTGCAATGGGAAGTTCTAAGGAACTTTATTTTACTGGCTCTGGAATGCACTCTCTCTTCCATCCTTTACACTCTGAAATAATTGAGCAATCAGTAACAGCTTTCCTGTAGAGGTGATGTCAGACTGTCCTAGGTATTTTCTGTTTTGTTTTTTTGTTTTTTGTTTTTGGTTTTGGTTTTGGTTTTGGTTTTTTTGTTTGTTTGTTTGTTTGTTTTGCAGATACTAGGGATTGAATTCAGGGGCACTGGACCACTGAGCCACATCCCCAGCCCTATTTTGTATTTTATTTATTTTTTAAAATGTGTTTGTTCTAATTTGTTGTCCTAGGTATTTCTTAGACCAAGTTCAGCACTAACCACTTCCCTCATGTCCAGCAAAGCCCACACCATGAGAAGTAAGGATGAGATAGAGGTTGCAGCCCCTGCTAAGATCTATGGGGATAGCAGCTTCCAATCTCTAATTTCTTTGTATAAATCACCTTTAGGAACCTGCCCCTACTACCACCTCAGCCTTAAGTTCCCCACTTCCCACAAGAAGTAAGTCCTACATGTCCACTTCTCAGTGACAAGCAAGGTGGACTATTACACTTCTAGAAGAATAATTAGCAAAGCTATCAATCACCTCTTTCTCAAATTTTATTCTGTTTAACATCTGCATCCTTGGTTCCAGTGTTCAGCCAAGAAAATCCCAAGAAATTATCCCTCCTCTTATTCCTGAGCTCACACAGAATGAGAAACTATTCAGAAGAGGGTTTAAAGAATGAAACCAAAATCTGAACTTCAGAGAACTATTTACACTATCTTTTTTGCCATCATGTCCCAAACACCCAATTTCTGTTTTGCAGAAATTGACAAGATGATCCTAAAATATATATGGAAATGCAAAGAACCAAGAATAGCCACATTTTAAAAAGAAAAAGAACAAAGTATACACTATTTACTTTCAAAACTTACACAATTGTACAATGATCAAGACTGTGTGGACATTTAATGAAAAAAAACTGATAGTTTGAAAATAGTCCTTAAAATTATGGTAAATTGATTTTTTCATCAAAGCTACTGAGATAATTTGATAGGAAAAGGAGAGACCTTTGAAAAAATGATGCTGAAGCAACTGTATATCCACATGAAAATAGGAAAGAAAAACTTTTGACACCTCATACCACACACAAAAATTAACTTGAAATGGATAGTAAACTAAATGTAAAAGCTGAAACTATAAATTTCTTGAAGTAAATAAAGTAGAAGATCCTTGGGACTTGAGTTGAGGAGAGTTGTTAGATGTTATTTTAAAAGCATGATTCATAAAATGAAAAGTGATATATGTCATCAAAATTTAAAATTTCTGCACTTTGAAGCATAGAATTAAGAAAAAACATCAGAGTAGGAGAAAATATTTCCAATTCATTTATCTAATATAGGCATTAGATACATAATTTATAAAGAACACTTACAACTCAATGATAATCCAGTTTTTTAAAATGGGCAAAATATGTGTGTATGGATAACAAGCACATGAAAAGATCATTACTCAAATGAAAACTAAAACCAAAATGGAATACCATTCCACAGTCACCACAATGGTTATCATTAAAAAAATAATAATGTATTGAGGTTGTGGAGAAATTGGAATTTTTTCCAGTGTTCTCTCTTAAGCACTACGAAATTAAGGAAATTTTCATTCTAGCTCCTCAGCTTCTGATACATAGCCCCAGAATTCAACAAATGTTATGTAATATAATGGGTGCTGTGGTGGCACCACTCAGGTTTGAAATTCTCATAACCCCACTTAATTACTAGCTGAGAGCTCATAGCTGCAACCCTCTCTGGGAATTGCTCTTACTTAGCTAAAGGAAGATGCTTCACCCAAGGTTCCCAGTTGTGGCCTGCATCCAATGATGGGCTGATTCTAAATTCAAAGGACCTCAGTGGCAGATGTCTCTAAGTAGCCATCCCATTTGCAGAGCTCCCCATGAAAGGGAATGAACTGTAACTATGTATCAACCATTCAACTTCCTAAACCCATTCTGCTTCTTTCAATCCCTTCACAGGTGTTATCTCTGAAAAGACTCCCCAATAAATCTCTGAATGCAAATCTCAGATTCAGTGTCTGTTTCCTGGGGAACTCAACTTAAAACAATGGAAGAAACCAGTCAGGCTTTTCAAATTTTCAATTTTTCTGCACCAGTCCCACATGACCAAAAGCTTTTCTGGGTTTCTCTTTACCCCAGGAGAGACCTTCTGCATAAACCAAGCCTGATCCTTTTTAGTCCATGTCCAGAATCAGTAAATAATGCAGAAAAGAAATTTTTCCTGAGGTTGATTGCCTCAGGAAGGTTCCTCCCTCTCTGGAACTCCTAGTCACCTAGTCCTAATTGCTTTCATAGCACTCACATATCTTTAAATCTATGAGTTTTGTAATTTTTCCACATTTTTCTGGTTGTTGCAGTGTGCACCAACTTGGGCTTCCATAATGTAATAAAGCCTGACTAGAAGTGAAAGTCTCTAGACAAAGATTTTCAAAATTACAAATGTATGGATTTTTGTTTTTTGTTTTTATTTTTTTGGAGATGGTGCTGAGGATTGAACCTAGGGCCTTGTGCATGTGAGGTAAGCTCTCTATCAACTGAGTTATATCTGCAGCCCTTTATTTCCTTATTTAATTGACTGATGGTCTGAAAAGTTTATTCTGAATCATTCAAATATTTTGAAATTTGCTGAAATTTGCTTATAAATTTAATAAATTTTTAAATATTTCATATACTCTTAAAAAGAACACATTCTCATACTGTTGAATGCAATGCTCCTTCAATATTCATGGGATCAAACTTGTTCAAATCTACATCCTTACTGATTTTTGTCTATTTGTTTCTGAAAGTTATAGTAAAATTTCCCACTGCTATGGTAAACTTTTCTATTTTCCCTATAGTATTGTCCATATTTGCTTTATATATTTTTGGATTAATGTTATTAGATGCATAAAGTTTAGAAATGTTGTAATTTCTCATGAATTCAAACTCTTGAAACTTTCAGTTGTGATTTTCCTCATATCTAGAAATACATTTGCTGCTACTTTTACCATTATTAACATACCTATGTCATCTTAAAGTCTTTCACTTGCAATTCTTTATTTAGATATATAAGCTCTTGTACTAGCTGACAAGTTATTTCTCCCACAGAACTCTACCATTTATTCCAAGACAGTATGAAAATATGGTTGTATTAACATTAAAACATATCACCATTTTATCAATCTCATAATAATTATCAAGTATCCCAATATTATAGTTCAAAAAAGCATATAAAATTTTAAAGTTCTAATTAATTAGTAGAAATCTACTTTTTTGTTGGGAAGACAAGGAAAAATATCACAGTTCAAACTAAAATAATAGTTAATAAGTAACTTCCAATGGGTATGGGGAAGAATTACAAGATTTTCAGAAATTTTATAATTAAGCATTGTTTACCTTTTCTTTTTAACTAAAGAGTCTACTGTCTACTTCCTATACAAGACAAAGGCAACATTTTACTAGAAATATTTCATATTCTCCTTCCATTCTGTCTGTCTTCAGGTCCCCAGTACAGTCATCCCAAATGTAAACATTTACTATAAGGCTTCTTTATCTGAAGACATTAAACATATATGCTTCTGTACAATGTGGATTTTGCTTGAACTTTTAACCAGAAGTTGATTTTCCAAAATGGAGGATTTCATAACATAAAATGAGATCTACAGAGACATAAAATAATCACCATGAGACTTGGTAATAATTGAACAAAATCAATTGTTGCACAAATCTGATGTATACCCATACACAATGAGGTGGTAAGCATAAAGAAGCAAGCAAATAACTATATAGACCCTACTTGCAATGCTGAAATAACTGAAGGAATAAATCACATAAGGTCTAGAGTGCTTAGAGTTCCTGGGATTTTAATTCTGTATAACTAAAAATATACAAGTATTGTGCTGGGTATCTTGGTACCTCATATCTCACTAAATTTCTTATATATTGTTTCTGGCATGGGATAGTAGTAAGAAAAACAGAGGTTGCAATTTTGTCAAGCTTGTGGCTTTTCAATTTTCCTATGGAAGCTTCATTAGACTTATATTCACTAAGCCTATATGATGACTAACATGTACGATAAATTAAGTCCTGTCTCAAGCTTCACTTTCAAGGCAATGGCATCAGCCAGCCAAGTTTTATTGAACGCAACAGTTGTTTCTGTGACCATTGGAGTCTTTGAAGCGCAGCCGCATTTTAGAACGATATTTCTCCAAATATAAAAGTTGCTTGCTGTTAAAAGCTCCGCGCCGCTTTTGTCTTATAAACTGTACTGCATCTTCATTTTTCATTCCACTTTCAATTAATGCTAAGGCGACAAGCACTGGAGTTCGCCCAAGACCTGCAACACAGTGAACGGCAATACAACAACCAGGTTCTTCACGAAATTTAATGTTTACAAGACTTAACCAGTCATCAACAATCTGGTTGGATGGTGAGGAACCATCATCAAAAGGCCAATCTAGAACCTGGATTCCTTCTTTCTCCATAAGAGCAGTGTCATAAGTTGCTTCACACACTCTCACTATTGTTGTAACTCCGTATTTCTTAAGTTCCTCTATAAATCTGTTTAAGGTTGCACTGGTTGGGTTGTGTGTAATAAGAAATCTCATGTTCCTGTATGTGACTTCCACAGGAGCTGGGCGATTCATTGGAGCCATGTTAATCTAGTTTTTCAAAAGTCACGGAAAAAATTAAAATTTTTTGAATACAGTAATGGTGTCAGGAAACTGAAGTCTACTCCAACGTACTCCAGATGAAATTCTCAGCGCTCAGAATATGAAGTTGGGAGTGACAGGAAACGAAAGGAACCTCCTAACAAGCCACAGCAGCTCTTCAAGTCCTTAAAACGGAGTCAATAGAAAGGAAGTGCACGGAGGTTTACCCCATCCAGTCAGAACTCTTGTAAAATGCTCAGATGACTTCAGCACTTCTGTGTCCAGGTTACTCGCTTCCACTAGGGCTTCCTGCCGGAGTGGTAATGTCTTCCTACAGTTCACTTGTCCTCATAAAGGTCGTGCTGTGCCTGGCAGTAATCTCCAGGGCCCTTCAGAAACTCCATAAATGCGTGACCAAGAACACCACAGAAAGGAATATGTTTACTCATGAAAAATTGTGGCCTAATCATACAGCCAGTCCCGTGGCGGCGACACAGGCGGCAGCGGCGGCTGCAGGCCCAGGAGCGGTAGTGGGCGTCGCGGGGCGGCGGCGACAGCGGCGGCGACGGCGGGACACCTAGCTCTACCGTGGCCGAGCGGCTCGGAAGAAAAGCCTCGAGGGAGGCAGTGCGCGCGCGCCCAGACGGCCCTGCGTCACAAGCCCTCTTTTTTATAGCCGGCGCGACGTGCGAACGCCCGCACCAATCGCGGTCGAGCGGGCCGAAAGCCAATGAGCGAGACCCGACCCCCCCACCCCGCAAACGTCACCACGGCCGCTGCTCGGTGAACCTGTGCGGAAGGAGAAGCGCCGAACCTGCTTGGTCTCCTGCCTCCTGGCCCGAAAGAGGGGCGCGAAAGGACGCGGGGAGGTGGGGCCGAGTTTGGAAGAGGATGAAGAGAAACGTGGGTGGACAGGAACGAGGAAGAGAAGGTTCCAGCTACGGAGTCTGTCAGCTTCGTGTTTTGACTACCTCTTGGGAACGTTTAGCTTTTTTTTTTTTTTTTAAGTCTGACAAACTTTGTGTTTAAACTAAAATATTTAGCTATCATTTTTGCCCTATTGTTTTGTGCTTTTGGACCCAAATGTTTAGTAATGGTAGTAGCGGCCGCAGGTTATCAGAGCCCACGAGGAGTAGACAGTAGTCCCTACTAAACATGTAGGGACGGCAGTAGTGATCAGAGATTACCAGGAGTTCTTCAAGTACGAAGTGGAAAATAATGGGAATCGGATTTCTTACTGTCAGAAACAGGAGTTACAAATATGGAAAGGAAAAAAGTAGAATTAATTCTGATCTTAGATTGAAATTCGTGGTATCAGTGTGGATTCCCATTTTAGAGATGGGAATAGAAATTGTGTGTGTGTGTACACGTTTGTGAATTCCTTAACTTCCCCTACAGCAAATAAAGAGGGCCTGAAGCAATGACCGTCCCATAGCAATGGACACAGGTACTGCCCCATCGTGATTTTTAAATACCACTTTCTATTAAAAAAAATTACAAGTCTCCGTGGAGAAATCATTGAGTCCAGACCCGGGGCAGGGAAAGTACAAGAGTAGCCCTGAAAATCTAGTTATGACAGAAAGTAAGGAAGTATTCACGAATGAACGGAATATGAAAAACAGACATACAAAACAGACCATAAGAGGCTATGGAGACATGACAGCTGTAATGTGGATGCAATCTTAGAACAGTACAAGGACATTAGGGAAAAATAATGAAATCTGAAGTGTAAAATTTAGTTAATAGTTCAATTTCTTTAATTGTGACAAATGTATCATAGTAATGTAAGCTGTTAACAATAGGGAAAAATGGATTAGTATATAAGAAACTCTCTTAATATCATTGCTACATTTCTGTTTATCTAAAACATCATAAAAGCCAGCTTAAAGGGCTCCCACTGGCCAGATCTCTATCTAAAAATTATAGGAATGGATTATATCTCATCAAAATAAAAACAAATCCATGAATCCATACTGATATAAACAAGTGAGAAAAACAAAAGCTTTGCCTTACAGTAGAATGTAAACTAAATAAATATAGCAGAAATGATGGAATTAGAAAAATGTTTATTTAGCAATCATAAAGAGTGTCATTTGTTTAGCACAGAAACATCACTTATGTAAGACTAGGGGTGAAAGCTGATGTGAAATTGGATATTTGTTTTAATAAATGCCTACCACCAAAAAAACTAATTTTTCACCAAAGAAAAAAACTAAAACAGTGGAAAAACTTACAGACACAAGCCTTAAATGATCAAAGTTAAGATAACCAGTACCAAGACAAACTGAAATGTGTACCATCTGAGAGGATGGAGTACAAGGAACATAGCATCACATCTGTGATATTCCTGCCCAAAAATATGTTCCTGGAATTTATGAGAAAAAAATCAGATAAATCCAAATTGAACTGTAATCTTTGAGAGTGTCAACAATGAAAGTCAAGGAAAAGTTGAGGAACCGTTCCAGGTTGACAGAGATTAAAGAGCTATGACTACTAAATGTAATATGTGATCCTTTTGCTTAAAGGATGTTATTGGGAAAATTAGCAAAACTTCAATGGACTCTGGATTATATAGTACTAATGAATCTATGTTAATTCTATCATGGTTCAGAAGAGAATGCCCTTATTTGTAAGACATGTATCCTGAGTTACTCAGGAGTAATGAAAGATACATCAGACACCTGCTCCCATATAGTTCTGAGGGAGAAGTTATTTTTACTATGTTGAATACTCTTTGTAAGGTTGAAATGAAATGAAAGTTTATCTTTTAGCATTAATTTTTTTAAAAAAATATCTAGGTCTAGTAAAATGAACTGGGCATAACATTCCTATGTTCATATATGAATCCCACAACCAGTGTAACCTCATATCATGTACTACCACAAGAATGGGAAGTTATACTCCATGTATGTATAATATGTCAAAATACATTCTACTGCCATGTACAACTAAAAAGAACAAATTTTTTAAAAGATCTGAATCATAAGAAATCAGCTGATACTCTCTTTTCTGGACTCTTGCTCTCATTTTTTGCCTGTTTCTGGAGACTTTTCTTGAAGCTTTACATTTTTAAAATATTTTAGCCAACATTATAACTATCTTGTAGCTTTGTTTCCCCATAATTTCAGATTATGGTGGATGGACAGTTGCCACTACAAGCTATTTTTTCCTAAATTTGATTTGAATTCCCTAAATATTCCACTGGACACAGGCTATTGAGCTAAATACTCATTTCCCAAACTTCCTTTGAAGTGTGGTGTGCCCATGTGACTAAGTTCTTCCAAAGAGACACAGTAAGAAATAGGGGGATTCCTTCCAGATCATACCCCTAAAAGAAACTCCCACATGCTCTCTAGCCCCCGCCTCTTTTGCTTTCTTTCAGCCATGAGGTGAGCAGCTTTTTTCTACCATGCATGCCCCACCAAAGGCCCCGAAATCAATGGAACCAACTAAGCATGGAAACTAAGCCAAAATAAACCTTTCCTCCTTTTAAGTTACTTGTCTCAAGTCTTTTGTCACAGTAACAGAAATCAAACACAAATGGACACAGAAAATATGGTATAAATATACATGATGGAGGAGTATTCTCCATAATGAATGAAATTCTGTCAATTGCAGAAGATGAATTGAAGTAGAGGAAATCACATTAAAATAAGCTAGATATGGAAAGAAAATAGCATATGTTCTCATATGTACTGTAGAAGCTAAAAAACGTAGAATAGTAATTACTAGAGATTGGAAAGGGTGGAAAATAGAAGGTAGGATCTGGTCAGTGCATGCTGGATGCATGTATGAAAATGTCACACCAAAATTTATTAGCATATACAATTAATACATATTAATCAAAAATTTAAAGCTGGGTATGATGGGTCATAGGAGGCTGCAGCAGGAAATCACTTGAACCCAGTAGTTCAAGGTCATGGTGAATAACAGCAAAACACCATCTCCAAAATAAGTTTTTTTAAAAAAAAATCAATAAGTCTGAATACTAATTAATAGAAATTCATATTTGAAAAAGAAAGAAAAGGGGGTGAAAATAATGAGTAAAACCTCAGAGACCTTTTGGACTATATTAAAAAGTTTTGTAATTCATCAACGTCCCTAAATGAGGGAAGAAAGATACTGGACTAATTCCAAAATTTAGTGAAAGACAAATTAATTAAGAAAACTCAGTGTGCTCTAACATAATAAACTTTTAAAAAGCCACACCAGGGGCTAGGGTTGTGGCTCACCAGTGCTTGAGGCACTGGATTCCATCCTAAGCACCACATAAATGTAAAATAAAGATATTGTGTTCACTTAAAACTAAAAAATAAATATTTTAAAAAATAAAAAGCCACACCAAAAAAAAAATACATCATAAACTGCTGAAAACCAAGAAAAGGAGAAAAACATGAAAGCAGCCAGAAAAACATTACATTACCAATAAAGAACAATTATTTAAATAACTGGATTCTTTTTTTTTTAATCAGAAATCATGGAACCAGAAACTGTAGGCTAACAATTTTAAAGTACAGGGAAATAAAAACTGACCACCTAGGACTCATATATATCCAGTAAAAATCTCCTTCAGTAATAAAGTCAAAATGAAGACATTCTCAGATGAATGAAAACTAACAGATCCTGTAGCCACCAAATCTACTCAAAAGAAATGCTGAAGGAAGTTCTTCAGGATGAAAAGGAAATCATACCAGAAAAATAACTGGACCTTCAGGAGTGAAGGAAGAGCAAAAGAAATAGTATCTAAGCAAAAATAATAGACTACCTTTTTCCTTTTTTAATTTTTTTTTTTAGTTGTCAATGGATCATTTTTGTTTTATTTATTTATATGTGGTGCTGAGGATCAAACCCAGAGTGTCGCACATGCCAGGCAAGCGCTCTACTACTGAGCCACAACTCCAGCCCCCACCTTTTGGTTTTTTAACTACATGAGTTTTAAAGCAAAAATTATAACATTGCCTTTTGGGGTCTTCAGTGTATGTAGTTGTATTAAGTCGTGTTTAACCCAAAGAAAGGATAAAATGGTCAAGTAATTTATGTGATTATAAAGCTGCTAAATTTTACTTGAAGAAATAAACAAATTTAATCAGTGAAAAATTAGGGTTCATTCCTAAAACAACCACTAAAAAACAAAATTAAGAGATTTAACCCACAAGAATCCAAAAGATAAATTAAAATAGCATACTAAAAAATACACAAAGGGGACAAACAAAAGAATACAGTGTTCAAAATCCAAATTTATCAATAATTACAAATGACAATTTAATAAAAATAAGATTGTCATATTGGATTTTTAATTGTATTTGTATGCTATCTATAAGAAATCCATTTAAAATATAATGCCATAGATAGAATAAAAGAATCAGCCAACCATACTGGCACACACCTATAATCCAGCTATTCAGGAAGCTGATTCAGGAAGATCATAAATTCAAGACCCTATCTCAAAATAAAATAAAAAGGTTGGGGATGTAGCTCAGTGGTAGAGCACTTGCCTAGCATATGTGAGGCCCTTGGTTTGTTCCCCAGTACCAAAAAAAATAGAATATACCATTAAAGCTTTATCATAATACAGCTGGAGTGGCTATGTATTAACACCAGGCAAAGTAGATTTCAGAATAAGGAATACTGGCAATGGATAAAGGAGAACATTACATAATTACATAATAACAGAGTCAATTCACCAAGAAAACATACCAATCTTAAATGGTGAGCACCAAGCAACAGTGTCAAAATATGTGAATCAAAACTGATAGCACTGAAAGGAGAAATAAACAAATCCACAATCATACTTGAAGATTCAAGCACTCCTCTCTCAGAAATTAAGAGAATAATTAGAAATTTAGCAATGATATAGAAGATCTATATAACACTATCAATCAACCTGACTTAACATTTATAGAACACATCACTCAATACATATTCTTCTCAAGTACACATGGAATGTTCAGCAAGATGTACTGTATCCTAGGTTAAACAAACCTTAACAAATTTAAAAGAATTAAAATCATACGTTTTTAAAAATCACACATTTATTCTTTAAAGACAATAAAATTAAATTAGAAATCAATAATAGAGTATCTGAAAAGTTCTCCAAAAATTTAGAAATCAGCAATGTTCTTCTAAATAAGCTATGGATTAAAGAGGAAGTCCAAAGTCAAAAATTAGAAAATATTTTGAATTGAAAGAAAATAAAAATGAATTACATCAAAATTTGTAGGCTGCTGCTAAAGCAGTGCTTAGAGGGAAGAAAATTTATAGCATTAAATCCTTATATTAGGAAAAATTTCAAATCAATAATCTGAGTTCCCTCCTAATGAAGCCAGAAAAAGCTGGATGTGGTGGCACACACCTGTAATCCCAGCAGCATGGGAGGCTGAGGCAGAGGAATTGCAAGTTCATAGCCAGCCTCAGCAAAAGCGAGGGGCTAAACAATCCAGTGAGACCCTGTTTCTAGATAAAATACAAAAAAAGAAAAAATAAATAAATTAACCCAAAGCAAGCAAAAGAAAGGAAAGTGTGGAAATCAGAAAAATGGAAGCAAAAGTTGACTCTTTGAAAGATCAATAAAATTGAGATAGCCCTAGCTTGCTTTATGGAACAAGGAGGACTCCACCTTGCTGGTCCATAACAATCAATGCAGAGTGCTACTAAGTTTTTACCTTGTTATATAAAGCTTCTATCACATCTCACCTTTGCACTAGACAGAGCTCTGAAAGCAGGAAAGGACTGATGAACTGGGTTTTTTTTCTACACAATTTGTTTTTACATATACATGACAGTAGGGTGTATTTTAATACATTTTATAGGGAGTACAACTTCCCATTCTTGTGGTTGTACCAGGAGTTACACTGGTCTTGTCATAGGAAAGTTATGTCCAGGTGATTCTGCTGTCTTTCCTATTCCCATCCGCCCTCCTCTCCCTTCATTCCCCTTTGTCTAATCCAATGAACTTCTATTCTTCCCTCCCCCATCTATTTTGTGTCAAAGAGAATATTCAGCCTTTGGTTTTTGGGAATTGGCTTATTTCACTTAGCATGATAGTCTCCATGTCCATCCATGTATTGGCAAATGCCATATTTCATTTTTCTTTATGGCTGAGTAATATTCTATCATGTATATATACCACATATTTTCTATCCCTTTTTTGAAGAGCACCTAGGTTGGTTCCATTGCTTACCTATTGTGAATTGAGCTGCTATAAACCTTGATGTGGCTAAGGCATACTATAGTATGCTGATTTTAAGTCCTTTGGGTATATACCGAGGAGTGGGATAACTGGGTCAAATTGTGGCTCCATTCCAAGTTTTCTGAGGAATCTCCATACTGCTTTCCAAAGTGGTTGATAAGGTCTTAATCTCCAAGTCACCAAAAATCACCTTAGTACTTGGCATATAGTAAGAGTACTGCTACTCAAATTATAGCAAATTATAAGTTCAGTTCCTCCAGTAAAAATGTCATAGATGTTCAATCAGTTCACTGTGACATATCAAAATTTTATTTTTCCTTAACTAAGCAATCTATATTTTAGTTAATATTAAAACAACATCATTATTATAATAATTTATTATATACTAGAGACTTGCTTCACAGGTACACAGGTTTGGGTTCCGTAGGTGGACCAATCTTGGTAAAAGGCTATTGTTTTAAATATAGCTTGATGATGCTTAGACCTTCATGGAGTGATCATCAGAAAAAATTCAAGGAGATGGCACTGTAGGAAAGTTGGGGAAGAGAATTCCAGTCATCATCAGGCATGTTTGATTCCATCCAAAAAGGTAACATTAGCAATATGCACTGACAAGTTCAGCTTGCATCAGTATTTTCTCTTTAACTATTCAGAATTCAATATGTTCCTATTTTTCATTGTAAAAAAATTTTCTTCCTGGCATTTGCATTTCAGAAATTCAGATGTCACTCTAATCAATGGGCAGAGGGAGAAGAGGTAAAATGGTAAACATAAATGAATAAATTCTTTGAACATACCTTACCAGGGAGGTAAGTCCTCTTCAGTAGCTCATAAAGAGTTAAGAATGGATACAAGTGAAGCAGTGAGAGAAGGTGACACCTGCCAGGCCAGGCACTCTCCTCATGGTACATACACATTTATTGCCATAATAAATGTATGGTGTAGAAATAGCTGGACAACAGAATGTTTGACTTGGAGGTCACCAAGGGAATTATATTCCTTGGGGACCTGAGAGAGTCCCAGTTTGTCATCAATTAGAAAACTCCAGTCACATTGTTCTGAGCTTTTTTAAGGCCAACAGCCTAACCTACCTGTGATGTCTACACACACAGTCCTCTAGAAAAATAAAGGGTTGGGGGTAAAATTATGAATTATAATGCACAGTCAAGCACTTAGAAAATATTTATTATGACATTGTTTCATTATGGATGAAAAAAATGAAATTTATAGCAGGGTTGTGTCAGCAGTCCCTCAGCAGCCAGAGCAAAGTTGGGTTCCATTCCCAGGGCCTATGGCGATGGGTTCCAGTCCTCAGAGCCACTCAGTTTCATTGCCATAGAAGAGAAATTCCAGGAATAAGTAGTGGTGGGAGAAAGGCAGGATGGAAGAACCAGCCAACTTGAATTCAATGAGAGGCTAAATAATCTAATGAAAGCATAGAACCTAAACAGTAATTTTTTTTTCCTCTGAGGTAAAAATATGCAGTTTCAAAATCACTCCAAACATGTAAAAGATTTAAATGTTCCCCAGGAAACAAAAGTCAAACTGAGTTTTATACAAGCAACCGGGAGCCTTGCAGGAACTTGTTCATGTGCCACAAGTTGCTCTTGCCTGTATTGGACATGCGCCTCTGGCACTGTTTGCAACGCTGATACTTCTTGCACTGGTCCAAAAGGAACAGCTTGTTGGAAGCCCTGAGGAATAGGAGAGGAGAGTGAAAGCAGCAGTTAGCAGTTGTTATGCAAGACTCTGGAGACCCCCATCACATTACTGTCTGCAACTCAAACCCTGTCCAGGCTCTCCCTGCTTGCAAATTGCCACTGTCTCCTCTTCAGTATATCTAAGCCCCTGACTTGGTACCTTCACAGCAACAGTCTGCCTGACCCTCTTTTCCAGTCACGCCTACCCAAACCCACTGAGAACACAGTGCCCAAAGTCACACAGTCAGCAAAGAATGGCTTCAAAGTCTCTTTGTTTGCTGTTTTGTCACTTGGATGCACCTCTCTTTCCTGGGCTCCTGGAGACAGGAGACAGCATTTGAGAGAGAGATCAGGCCATTAAGCTGCTGGTTAACAGCACCTGCGGAGCATTATGAGTACACTTACAATGAAATATCTCAAGAGGCCAGAGCTTCTGGAGAGTTAAGGGCAGGACAGAAAGTGAAGATAAGTAGAGGGACAAAATTGGATGGCATCAGAGAGGAAGGGGCAGCAGTGACTGATCTACCTTGACAATTCCCAGTTATGCAAGCCAGTCCCTAGTTGTTCCCCTGCCCTATCAACAGTGTCTACAAGGATAGAATTCTGGACAACCCAGAGCATCAGAGGCAGCCCTAAAAGGAGAAAATGTAAACAGCCATGAAAGTGGGTAAGGGAGACCTACCTTGCTTGCCTTGTTACAGGACAGATTGCATGTGCTAACTGCATGCATGTGAATCGTGTTTTTGCCTTTGCTTTTTTTTTTTTTTTAATCCTGTCAACACTGTAGTATTTGCTATGATTTCTTTTTTGTTGTTGTTATTCTAATTAGTTACACATGACAGAAGAATGGATTTCAGTTCATTGTACTTTTGAATTTTACATCAACCACTTCGTTCTTCCTATCTGATGCCTGCGCTTCAGTATCTACCCACAACTTGGCCTAGCCTAGGTCCTCAGAAAACAAGTCTGCTCCACCATGTCCCAGAGCAGGTTGGCCAGCCTACATTCAAGATTAGTTCCTGTATATCTTTTATCACTGTGTTGACCAAGCATTTTTACTAAATCCAAATAAAATTTCCCCACCATTACTCTCACTGTCTTTTACCTGCCTTTCTACAACACTGAAAAAATGGCTTGAGCTCTCCAATTCCCCTTCCCTTCCTCTTCTCTAGGCCAAGCAACTCCATTTCTTCTTTGGGACCTATTTTCCACATCATCCCTCATACTTTCATAGTCTTACAATATGTTTCACGCATTAGGAAAACAGGTGAGAGGGCTGGGGTTGTGGCTCAGTGGTAGAGCACTCGCCTCACACATATGAAACACTGGGTTCGATCCTCAGCACCACATAAAAATAAATAAACAAAATAAAAAGGTATTGTGTCCATCTACAACTAAAAAAGAAGAAAAAAAATTTTTTTAAAGTAGGTGAGAAATGACTTAGAAGAAAGTCTAAAAGAAAAGGGGTTACAAATCAAGATCATTATAACAAAATTTACCCATATAAAAATGAGTTGACAATTGAAACTATCATTTTGATATATCTGGGGTTGACTTTAATATGTTGATTGTGCAGACTTGGTCTGTTTCATCAAATTCCTTGTTCTGTTAAATCCTGCCTTACATTTTTGAAGGATTTTAATTTCTAAGAGTAACCATTTCCCATCTCCTTAATCAGTCTCTAAAACTTCTCTGTTAGTTTGGTCAGGCAAATATTTACTTTCCCATTTTACACATAAGAAAAAATAAGACAAAAAGATTAGCTGCCTCTTCAAAGTAAGTGATAATTATCAAAGCCAGGACAAGAACCCAGATTCCCTAACTTAAATTATAAATACACCACTGGAGAGGGGATTAGCTCCATAATGGGCATCTCATCTTTCCAAGTATCAATCTTACTCACAAAATACCTTGACTCTGCTCCTAAATGACTATTCCATAAGCATTGGACGTGTTCACGTCAGACACTCACTTTCCTGGCTTTCAATTAGTTTTTTCCAAAAAGAATTTCTACCACCTTCCACAAATTGAAAATGAAGCCACCCTAGTCAGAGGCACAGATTGGGGCAGAATTGGTGAACTCATGACATACAACACAGCAATCTTTAGTCCCTTGTTCATGGCAGACATTTCTAATCAATCACAGCAACATTTCCCACTGAACACAGACTTGCTTTCTCCATTAAATCTTCTAGTCAACCATCACTGATCAACTAGGATCGGTGCTTGAAACCTGCCATCCTAGGACTAAATAAGGAACAGGGGAAATTTCTTCAAAAAAACTTCTGGTTCCAATCAGATGTTACCGCTCGAAAGACTTTTCTTCCAGGTCCTTCTCTTTCTTTATTGCAATGCTATTTTCCCAATCCTCCTGCAAGCATTGGTTCATTTTGTTCACTCTCTCCAGCTCTGCAGTTCTGTCTGCCAAGTACCTGGAGAGAAAAGAGCATTCTGACTCCATTCTTAATATTTGAAAGAACATGCATTAACCTTAGGAACCCCATTCCTTTCATGTAAAATTAAACAGAAAACTTTCTGGTTTTGTTCACTGTTCTTTGAACTATATACTAAAAGGCATGGACACTGTAAAAGCATAGTGAAACTTCTGGCTGTCAAATATTATGAGTCTAGGACCTTTCATCTTCAACAGTAATTTAAATTAGCAGGGTTGAAACCTTTTTTCCAATTAACAACTTTGGCCTTTAAAGTCATTAATTTCCTTTGAAGCTAATTTAACTCATCTGAAGAATCATTCCAAATGGATTTCTTATACTTTGTTTCTTTGCTTTTATTCCAACTTCTCAGCTGTCAGTAATCAGCCTACTGGTTGCTACAGGCATTCTGCAAGCAAAGGCATACAAATCAAGGTCTAGAAAGGGATTAAAGGAACACAAGGGACTACAGCAAGACTAAAGGAAATCTAGAAAATATCTAATGCTATGCTGTGAAGAAGTCAGGGGAAGGAAAAGAAATGTTTTGTGAACCATGGTTAAAGCAGTGACTGCCCTGAAATCTCTCTTAAAGTCTCACTAATCCCGTTTCCACCACTAGTCTCCAAATACACTGACACTACTGTTGTGAGCCTGGTTCAAACTATTTATGTGTGTCTATTTCTTGCCAAAAGGAAACTTTTACTGTCAGTTTTCATTGAAGTCTAGAAGAAGCATCACTGAATGTGACTGCTGACCGCCTATACTGAAGAGACTTGTGCTGTGGTGGCTACAGCCACTAGGTGTCAGAATCCTCCACTGAAAATCAGCACTGTCCCCTGGTTCACTTTTTCCTAGAACAGCAGAGCCACCCTTTTATCTAACCAGCATTAACTGCACAGCTATTATGTGGCAAAAGATCAAATGACAAAAATATAAAGTGCTAATTCCCATTAATAGTGGGCGTTCACTGAATGAATGGAACCTTCTTTTTCTTTTCATAGTTCTTTTTAATTATGGTTTTAAAAAAATCACCATCTTAACCAGTTCTAAGTGTTGGTAAGGATGGAGAGGTGATAAATATATCCAAACTGTTGTGCAACCAAGCTGCAGAATTCTTTTCATCCTGCAAAACTGAAACTCTATACCATTCAATTCATTTGTCATTCCTCTAGTCCCCATCGACTACCGTAATTCTACACTCTGTTTCTAAGAAACAACTATTCTAAATACCTCCTATAAATGGAATAATACATATTTGTCCTTTTGTGACAGCTTATTTTACTTAGTGTAATGTTCTCAAAATTTATGCACACAGTAACATTTGTCAGAATTTCCCCCTTTCAGATTTGTATTCAAAAGAACTGAAAGCAGAATCTTAAAGAGATATTTGCATACCCATATTGATAGCAACACTATTCACAACAGCCCCCAAGAAGTAAATGTCACAGAGGAAAAAGAAAAATATGATATGTACATAAAGTGGAATATCTGCCATCAAAAAATAATGAAATCCAGTCATTTGTGGCTGTTGCCACAGGATGGAATTAGAGGACATTGCATAGAAGAGACTGGAGTAGAGGTCATTAGAGCCTAAGAAGGGTAGGGAGGAAGGGGTGACAAAGAGAAGTTATAAAAATGTACAAATATATAAAAAGGAAAAATAGTTCTGCTGTTCTACAGCACAGCAAGGTTACTATAGTATACAACAATTTATGGTACGTTTCAAAATAACTTTAAAAGTCTTCCAATTAATACAAATGATAAATATTTGAGGAGACAGAAACACTAATTATCCTGATTTGATCATTACACATTCTATACACGTATTGAAATACTGTACTATATCCCATAAATATGTACAATTTATGTGTCAATTAAAAATTTTTAATTATATCTCAATAAAGTTTTTGAAAAAAATAAGAAAAATTCATCAGGAAAACTATGCCTTCCCCTTAGGCATGTTTGTGCTTTCACTAATCTTCTTAGGCTGCAACCATTTCTCCTCCCCACCATCAAAATGCCTGCAGAGCCTTTTATGATTACTATATTACTTACAATCCTTTAATCTGTAAGCAATGTAACTTATGATTTCAAAACCATAAAATCTGTTGAAAATAAAATAGCATGCCCAAGGGAAAACTAGAGTAAAAGGGAATATTTAATGCAGAATTGTTATAACAACAAAATACTAGGAAACCAAAAGTGCAAAAGTTAAATTATATTATTTTTAGTACATCCATTGGAGAAATGCAAATTAAAGCATGAGATACCACTATACACCTATTAGAACGGCTGAAATTAAAAAGATTGATCATACCAAGTGTTGGCAAGGATGGAGAGGAACTGTCATACACTATTGGATGAGATTAGAAAATAGTACAACTAAATTGAAAAGCACTTTGAATTTCTTTAAAAGTTAAATATGTATCTGTGATATATCAGCCATGTCATGCCATGCCTAGGCATTTACCCAAGATAGAAGGCACTATATGTCCATACAAAGACTTACACTCAAATGTTTAGAGTAGTTTTATTCACAATCACCAAAAACTATAAATAACCCAATGTCCATCAACAGACGAATAAACAAACAAAGTATGTTATGTATGTGCAATGGAATACTCCCCAGTAAAAAAAAAAAGAACTGAGATATTGTTATATGCAAAAGCATGGGTGAATTTCAAAATATTGACTCACAATGACTCACAATGTATACTGCATGGTTCCATTTGTATGAAACCCTAGGAAATGCAAACTAACCCATAGTAACAGAAGGTAGATTAGGGGTTGCTTGAAGATAGGGTTGTGGGAGGGATGAGGGAGGAATTATAAAGGACACAAAGAAACTTTCTGGGATGATGAATATGTACATTATCTTGACTGTAGTGATCCTTTCATGGGTGGGTGCATACTATATCAAAACTTATCAAGTTGTACACTTTAAGCACATACAGTTTATTGTACATCAATAAAGTTGTTTTTTTTTAAAAAAAAAAAAAAAAGGAAAAAAAAATCATCAGGAAAGCCATGCCTTCCCTCAGGCATGTTTCACAAATCTTCTTAGGCTGCAACCATCACTCCTCCCCACGACCAAAATGCCTAGAGAGCTTTTATGATTATTATATTATAATCCTTTAATCTGCAAGCATTGTAATTTGTGATTTCAAAACCATGAAATCTGTTGAAAATAAAATAGCATGCTCAGGGGAAAAAACAGAGTAAATTTTATAGACTCTTCAAATTGTGACACAGGAGGTAGAGCCAAAATCATGGGCATAATCTCATCCCATGGGCATTTCCAGTTACTTATGTAATAGAAAGTAGAGTGCCATCTCTTCACCCCACTGCACTCTGTCCTGCTGTCAACTCCTACAGCCACACCATTACATTACCACCCTACAGGGACTGAGAGCCTACTGTGACATTTTCCACAACCACTTTTATTCATTATCTCATGAAAAGCTTTTAAAATATTCAGAATCACTCAGAGTTTATGTTCTAAAATCAGTAGAATGAGTAAGTATCAGTGGGGAGCCAGATCTAGGGAAGACCCCAAGTAAGGCCATTTCCATTGATTTAAACTGATGTAATAGAGAATAATTATGTCAATTTATAATCCAGAAAAAGAAAAGCTCTTTCTTCTTTTCTTTTTCTTGTAATAGTAATAACTACCCTTGAGGGAGCACTTAGGCTGAGTCAGACACTATGTTATTTACAAGGATTATTTAATTTAGCCTTCAACCACCTAAAGATACTTGTATTATTCCTAATTGATAAGGAAATCAACATCTTCAGAGATAAGTAACCTGCCTAATATCACACAACTCATAAAATGGTAGAACCACACCAACCATTCAGAACAGATACTGGAAATGGTCTGGAGTTCCCAGTATACATCATTTAGGTGAAAGATCATGGGGATATGGTTTGGGGATACCAGAGGGTTTAGGGAAGTATAGACAGAGTAGGTATACTTGTGGGCTTGGGGTAATCACCATCAAATAAATATAAAAATATATAATATTTTAGCAAATATATAGATATACACTGCTGAGAATATGCAATATCTATCCTATGGTGGACTTGACTCCAGAAATTATGTGTTTCACCACTTCCACCCCCTCTATCAACAATCAGATCCCACCCTTATCACCATAACCTCCATCTACTCATGTTTGTAAATCTGGGCCTACATGGTATAGACCACAACAGATACATGCACTATCTCTATGACCACTTATAAAGTTCACAAAAATTTAATAAATAATTTTTTTATAAGTACAACTGACTTCTGAGATTGAATTCCTTTGGACAGAGCCTTTTTGGAACTCCTTGTACCTTGACATTTTTAACTGAACAAGAATAAGAATCTAAGACTTACTGAACATCTGCAAAAAGGAAAACTAGAGTTCCCTGTAGCAATCTGGGTGAATAAGAAGCAGGAGATTATGGATGATGGAAAGACTAGGGAAGAACCATGGAGATGTTGTAAGACTGAGAGCCAAATAGGACCTTTAAAAAATTCCCCATTGGTGCAGTGATCAATTGGGCATTTTAAGAAATGGGATGTCTGATGTTTGAACTGAAAGGTATGTGCACTGATACAGTATAAGTCCTCCTCAGCCTACCCTGACACCTTCCATACACCCTCACATATGGAGGAAGGTTAGTGGAAGTTGAGTAAGACCCCTTTCCAAGTGTCATGTCTGGATTTACTTGAGCACAACACCACACTTGAGGCTCACATCCTACTTCCAATGGATATTGCTGGAAGGGACAACCCTTTTAAGAAGTTAAACTGTAACAGGAAGGAAAAATAGGAGGGAACTGAAGGGAGAAATGAAATCAAGAGAGGGCTTTTAAAGTTATTTATTTAATTGTATTTTCTTCATAGGATGGATTGTAAGATAAAATGAGATAAAGAATGTGGTTAACTTAGAACAGTGTCTTTCACAATTAACTCCTCAATGTGTTATCTATTATTCTTACTTTTCTGCTGTTGTTTGAGAGAGGAGGGAGGAAGAGGAGAAAAAATAAGAAGCCAAGGAGGAGAAAAAAGATTCAAGATCTCCTTACTCTTTTCTTGTCCTCTGAAGCATCTCCAAGTCCCGCTTCTGATCCACCAGTTGGTGCAGAATGGCTTCCCTCTTCTGGTTAGCAGCTGTTTCCAGCTGGTGCTTCATGTAATCCTGTTCTCGCTTTCGCTTTTCCACCAGCCAGTCAGTCTTTTTCTTACCAAAGATGGGCTCAGAGGAGTCCGGTTCAAACACAGGTAACTGAGAGGGTCTGTTCTTCATCTGAAATGGGAACAAACATATGCAGATTTTAATGCTATCATGGAATAAACTTTATGCACAACTCTGTAATATGGTAAAATACCAATACCTTACAGGAAGGTTCACATCCACCAAATGTGTAACACCAAGAGTATCCATAATATTAGAGTATTTATATATTTTATGCTATTGAAAAACTGTATAATTTTAAAATAATAATAATAATACTTGGCCCTTACCTGAGCATCCAAAGCTGTCTTGTAACACAGTGTTTCTTCCATTTTATCTTTTAAATATTTGGCTCTTTGTGCAGCAAGTCTGATATTTAAGAACAGGAGAAGGTAGGAGAAGTTTTAGAGTCTTTAACAACACAGATTCACATCATTGAAACATTTTCAGTCAAGTATTAATACTGAGACATCATAAATAAAAATTGTTGTTTCATTATGGGATATTTCATCTTAAGAAAGAAAAAGTAGGACTGGGGCCATAGCTCAGTGACAGAGCGCTTGCCTAGCATGTGTGAGGTGCTGGGTTCAATCCTTAGCACCACATAAAAAACTGAACAAATAGGGGCTGGGGATGTGGCTCAAGCGGTAG